TTTGGTCTGGGCCCGAGGTGGGCTTAATAGCCGGCGACTACTGTATAAAGAAGTAGAAGACGTGATCTCTAGAACGGCTATTTTACTTATCTGAGCTTTCGACCCCATACGAGGAGCCATCGTCGGAGAAAGTGAGCAACAGCAAGAGTTAGCTACGCGTAAATGGGGGGTAGGAGGGGGTTCGCACTTGTGATTGGTCATTGATAATTTATTATGACCCATTTAAATTCATTCGTATACATAGATCGCGCATTGCATTTAAGTAGTCAGTTATCTAACGTAGAACCAAAGTTTTGAAGAATAAAACTTCAGAGGCAGTGATAACAGGTGAAAATTCACCTACCTTCTGTTCGCTTCTCAGTTGTTTGACGATCGAAAGGTCGCCAGAAGTTCGACCAATTTTAAAACTTCCGTATCGGTTTCCACGGAGAATTTTGTAGACAATGCTGCCATTTTCCCTTCTGTCCGGGTCCACGGCCACGATGCGGGTCAACACGAAACCCACTTCTTCTCGCATGGACACATTAACCTGAAGCGTTTTATGTGCAGAAGATAAAAGTTGAGTGGGTACAGTCAACCGGACGCAATTATCCTAAACTTCTGAAGAAAGCATAAGCGGCCGCATTCATTGTTGGGAAGACTAACTAGAACACGATTATTTTCTCCAGTGTATGTGTGTATGTACAACAACGTGCAATTTTGGAGATGGATGTCGTCGAAATCAGGATTACTGCAAGTTTATGCTGATCAGTAAGTAGAATGTTTCGATGTTTCGAATGTTTTTGATTAATTCATCATCAGGTAAACATAATAATATAAGGGAGGGTAAAGTTAACAAAATGTTAGGCAACCAATCAGTAGTAATTAGTGTGAGAGGTGTTAAGGGATCAAAGGGGGTCTAGTCATAATTAGGGACCAGAGAGGGGAAAGGGTTGGCAGGCGGCCGACATTTAGTTCCTGTCGCCCCGTCGTCCTTGTCTCGTGTTTTTTTGGAAGGCGTGAGGACGCAAGGTGTCATCGTCTCGTGACAGCGTGGGTGGCCTGGGGACACTTGCTGTCGTTGACAGATGTTGAATTAGTCCTCTACCACTGGTGCCTTAGTGCCTTTACAAATGCCTTTTGCCTTCACAAGGTCAAGTTTGTGAGAAGCATGGCGACTTGTCGTCGCAAGTTTTCGCCTACGCAAGAACTTGGAATGTTTCGCCGGTACATTATACATCTCTCGAAACACTTGGTATGTTAACACTACCCTTCCTTATACTATTGTCTTTGCCTGATGATAAATAAAGCGAAAATGTTCATTCGCCTAACTTGACATCGTGAATGTTTGCATGGGTATCAGCGTTGAACTTAAACGGTCTAATTAGATTTTGTTGTTTTTATGGAAATGTAACTTCTTAAATACTGGGTAAAGGGAACCACGCTATACCCTCTGCTGTTTGGGATATCCGCGGCATCATTGCATCAAAATTGTTTGTATTGATGTCTTGCTACCATAGATGTGCGTCAAAATAAATTAATATTTTACGACCTCAAGAATGAGACATCGTTATAAAGGAGATAAGGGCCCGATCACTAGAACAGTAATTTGAGCAGTTTGTTGCCGTGACCCGATGCTGCTACTGTTTTCAGCTGATGTCGCCGATGAAGAATCCGCGACGGAAGTCGAAACGTCAGGCGAATAAAAGAGTTGTCCCAGCGATCGAATCTTCTTATTCTCAAAAACAAAAAGTGAACATATTGGCAGTGAAAGGAAGCATGGGAGAAGGGCAGGGTTCGTGACTGGGTCCGGCTTATGTCATTAAACGCCCTGTGTTCTCGAACCGTGATGATATGTATCCGTAGCCGGTAGGTGGGCCGCGGCACCTGACCACGCGGATAGAAGGTCAAACTTTCCCTAAATGGGACAGGTATCAGATTCTCTTGCCTCCAGTAATCCCTACTTAAGTCGGACTTCCAAAACCAGAGTATCCACCAGAAAGCGCACAGGGAGTGCTGGGGGTGACTAGCGTGTCCAACTCATGGCAGCTGTGCTAGGAAGTGGCAGAATATCGGTATATTGTGTAACCCCAGTTTCACCTGCGTATTGCTGCCGGCTCCTACCAGTATCCGAGTGCTCTCGAAGTCGAGCTCATAACCTTCCTCTGGGTTGCGATTAGCGACTAAACATTCCAGTTATGATACGAACTAAGTCCTGATCCCATCCGGCAAGAACAATCGTGACTACTTCCAATAGTCCACCTATATCCAGTCGGTCCTTCATCTGTCGGATTCTGTTGGGTATGGGAGCTGCTGAACGGTGTGCCATAGCCAAGCCTAACCCTTTTCAATACGCCCTGCTGTCTCTGATAAATTCTTTAAATGCGGCAGAGAATGCCAGAGTGCTAGTGGTCCCCTCCCGTTTGTTCTGTGTACAGCGGTTACCTACGCTTTGCTTATACAGGGTGTCCCAGAAGTAACTGACCCTTTTGATTTGCTAATAAAACGAAAACTGTTAACGCTGGGATATTGAAACTAGTTTTATTCGAAAGAAAACACTTTCTAAAATTTGGTGCGATGACAATCCAAGAGAAATTCAAGAAAGT